ACCAGAGTCCATTACAGGAGTAAGCACGGAAATTTCCTTCAGTCCATTGTGATAAATTTTATTTTTGCATCGCACTCGAGCCATCGCGGCCGAGTCGAGAATAGAAAAGGAAACCGATATAGTGATGTAGACACCAGGGAAGCGAAACCTTGTAAACCAGCGAGGCATTCTTCCAGCAGGCTCACTGGCCCATTTCAGCTTCCCTACGATGATCCCAAGCAGCCCGAATTCTTAGAGGGGATGCGGGTAAGCGTCGCTGCAGGAAGGCCTGAGAGCAGCAAATCGACAATACGAGACAAGGGCGAGGTAAGGTTCTCGTGCGATGCAGGGCAGATGGGGCAGTGTGACGTGCGATATTTCATTATTGCCAGTCGATGAAATCACGGGGAGAAAAAAGTCATTGGAGACTCTTCCATCTCGCCCTATCTTCTCTTATTACAGTTCCACGGCGTCGTAGTGCTCCGCGAGATTCTCTTCCGTCGAGGGGTGAGAGACGCTTTCCAGGAAGCTCCCGCGAACTCCAGGAAACGGAGCAAATAGGCAGCGCCGCGAGTCAGATTAGAAAAATTTTAATCTCATATCTCTTACCTTACACCGTTTCAATGGGCTTGAGCCTGTTCGTTGCAGCCCCTTTTTGCTGTACATGTTCCGTGTTGCAAGCGAGGCCAGTAGATGAGTGAAGACGAGTCCTAAGCTTCCGACAGACAGATGGCAACCGATCACAATTGCACGCCTTTCGAATGTCCAAGTAAATTGAGAGTCGAACCCGAGAAGGAACGCTTCTCATTCGGGGGAGTAAAATTTTGGGTTCACCAGGGCACGTTTCCGAGTTCGACATGGCCCCTGAAACGGTCCTGGTGCCTTTCACTCGTTTCCTCGAGTTCCGGAAAACGGTTTGCACATCTCGACGGAAAGGATGTCCGGAAACGATGACGCTAACACGCTGATATGTCACGGGAAGAGAACAAACAATTTTTTTCCCCAGTGCATAATGGAACGACTCCATCGCCACGACGAAATATGGAATCCAGTGTCTCGATTCGCAAAGCGATACCTCACTTCCGTGACCCTGACTCTCCCTCTCCCCCTACCCCCTTGTCTCGTCTGGGCCTGGGGACAGCACGAGGAGGAGAGGCGAGCTGTGATTGGTCCATCAGCTCCCCTTCCTGGGGACCTCGTCTCGCGAGCGTGCGACTAGTGCTCATTCGTTTCTCGCCCGTCTCCGCTCAAACCTAGAGCGTGCGTGTGACGCATGTTAGTGTTGTATGCGCCTAAGCTGCTCTTCTTCCGTATTTCTCCGCCTTTCCTGCATCTTTACACCTCGCATCGTTTCGATACTCAGGTGAGGCTAGGATGTTGTGCCTCTGGTAATCGCACTGTCTCCAGGTAGGCCTACCCATGCGAATTCTTGACACACTTACGCCGTAAACCTTTCGGGGATTACGAAGTGGGTTCCTACTTCCTAGAACTTACCAAAAGAGGTGTTTCATTGTTTACAGCGGGGGGACCCCGGCTGCCATTGACTGAGGTGTCGGAGTAACTAACGAAAAGCTAGGCATAGTCCACTGTAGTTCATTGTAGCTGCCCATAACCCTAGATGGCAATCCGCAAGGGTCCTAAAATCAATGTACAAGGCTCCGCATTTTCAAGTTGCAGGTGTGTCGGACAAATGTTTATCACTTTTAGGATCATAGGAGTATTTGAAACTTCTTGAAGCGTCTACGTAAAACCTTCTTTCGAGTGTCGTGTTCGTCTTTTTCCCGCTTTCCTTGCTCCCTTCAGTTTGAGTGTTTAGGTCCATGCATACCTTCGTGCCCCTGCCTTACAAGGCCTCGTGCAAGCCCCGATACGCTACACTGTTTACGGAAGAATTAGGACCACCCTGATCCCGATAGAAGCGCTTCCAGGCAGTGAGACCTTCCACGTGGGTTGGTTTCGTGGATCACTTGATAAAGCGGATCTTCCGGAAGTAGTGCTTTCTCCGTTTCCCACTACCTTGGCGATACCAATTCAAACCGGAAACAAGTTAAGAGACCCCTGTCTTCGAACGCGGGACGTTCAAGAACTCCGATGATGAAGGCCGAACCTGGCGCCAATCCCATGAGGATCGGTTTGAGTCATCCAAGGTGTTTTGTACTCGTGTTGAATGACGTTGCTGAGGGGGAGGGTTGGCAAATGCTCCTGTGATAGGACTCATTCACGGGCCTTGTTCCGCTCTCACCCAAAACCCATCGTATCGTATCTATATCTCTTCGACTTTCCCCTCTGCCCAGTAATAAAAGCGAATTCATCCACGTACGGTAGGCCAACGAACCGAGCGGGGCACTGTTTATACAATGAAAACTTACGTCGTATGTTTATAAGCTCCACAGAAACCTTACGAGCCTGACTGTTAAGAAATAATCGTGAAAAGCCCTAGCTGAGCTCCCCCTTAAACGAGCAAAAACAAGATTTGGGACCCAGAGCAGCGTTGACTGACTCGCTCTTGTCTGCTGTGCTACAACGATTGGTGATCGCTGTCTGCACGCGGCATCACCGTGTTACTTTCCTGCTCCGTCCCTCTTCGTCTCGTGCTTCGAGACTGCCCGAGTTTTAGGGTGGGGGAGATTGTTTAAGCAACGACTCCAATAGGTCGTCAGTGAGGACAATGCAAGTCTCAATGGCAAAGTAGGCTATGAGAATGCTTACAGGCATTTCTCCGAGATCCTGTGACTGGCATGCGATTAGATTAGGCTATCGTTTCGCCTCTCTCCATGTGAGGATTCGTGAAGGTGTCATCCCCTCCAGACTGGGAAACGGCATTCCATCTTCTTAGCGATGAGGATTCACCGACTGCGATTCCGTGAATTCTTCCTAGTTATCGGCCTCCAGGATGACAGAATATCACGAGAAAGGACTTGAGATACATTTCTGGATTTGGTCGAAGCTGCGTCTACAGTGCTTCGAGTGCGAAGTCCCTGTCATTGAGTGATTTTGGGATGTTTTTGGGCCCATGCATCTACCGAGAAATTCTTGTCCTGGGTAGGGGATAGAATCGCCAATGCAATTACTTTATGCGATTATAGTTTTAATCATGATATTGAGAAAAGAATCGTTAGTCAATGTGAAGATCGATTGGAGACAGGAAAAATTTTGGCGGTAACTACTACGATTTTATCGTGAGATTCCATTCCTCTTGCTGACGTTTCCTCCACCGATTCAGTAAAGAAAAGTATGTGCTCATTGAAAGTCGTGATTGCTCAAACAGATATGCAGAAACTACGATGAAGACGATTTAAATTGAGTTCTAGCCCTGGTAAGATAATATATATAATATAATATAATCTCATAATCATTAGGCGCTGTTTTCATCCGAAGTAACGGATACCTCAGTTTTAATTGGAAAAAATTTAAGTATTTTGCCTGTTTTGAAGGTAGTCGTTCTTTCAGTGCACTATTCAATGGGCGTAGATTCATGCTCAATTCCTGGAATGTCTGGCCTTAACGAATCGAATTGAAGTGAGGGCGTGTCGCATTTGAATAAATTCATTTCTGTGACACCTGTGTGCTTTTGACCTTAACAGTTACTCCTTCCTTCGTGAAGAGCGCATAGTTTATTATCCTTGGGCATTCGACGTCAGGGGCTGTCAAGAGACTCTGGCTTGGTCCACCCTTTAGTGTGTCACGATAGTCTTCGACACCATGAAAGGAGGGAATGCGTTAGGTATCATTGACCGTAAGGCAGATACATCATTGCAATGAGTTACTCAAAGTAAACTGATAGGGTTTATTGAGACAAGGAATCGTATTTGGGTAGTGAGATAAATTCCGACCTCCTAAAGCTTAAAATCCGTTCCCGCCTTAGATATAATTTGGTTTTAATCTCTGTTTTGATTTCTTGTTATGTTGAATGGAGAACTTCATATCAGAAACGGACTTGCCTCAACTACCCATTGAGAAATTGGTCAAGGAATATACGTACCGGTAGGACAAAACCACCCAAGTTCGGACACTAACGTTTATTGTTAATAAATACGCATTCGCGAGATCGACATAATGGAGAGTTCTTCTTAACCCAAAATGACCATGTTATTAAGCGAAAGACCTGTGATGGCCTCGATCGTTTGGCACGATTTCGAAATATCAAGCAGAAAAGAATGTCTTGTCGCGGACAGGACAAATTCAAGAAAACTTACCGAGACGACCTTACTTGAGAAACGCTTCTCAGGTGGCATCGTTAATTCTGAGATCAATTCTTATTCCACAGGAATCTAGGGAACGTAGAGCACTGCTACAAGGGAATACGCATGCCATGAGCAGATTTCTGCTTTACTTCTGGTGTGTCCAAACTACGTTGTGTTCGGACTTCATTCTTTCGCATCTAAGTTCGGACACTCACGTAATAGGAATTATTGGAAGCCACAAGGCTTCGATGGTCATCACCTTTCTCACACTCATGCTTACTAATATTGTGCTGCCGGACGCAAAAAGTGAAGTATCTGGGTTGTGCCATTAAGGCGTGATGAGCGAATTACAATCCTATCCCAGCTAAACTGCCCAAACATGGTGGTGGTTTTACCCTACCTAATCAATATCGGTCCCTGTTCGACATTGACCAAGTTGTATTTACTGGTTCTAGACAGTTCCTCCGTTTTTAAACTCAGGAACACGAAGGTGCGAAGCAAAGTACGAACAAATGCAGCCTGTTGGCGGTAACTGATAAGGTGTAATGGTACGGCATTATTTAAAGTTTCCAGAAGGTGAATTTTGGAATGATATTTTTGATTCGTTTTTCAGTATGGATCAGGAAATGTACTCGGGGGGGGGGGGGTCGTCCTGGAAATTACTTCCGTCTGGACGCTGCTACCTTTCCTTATTCGTGCATGGGGCAGATATCCGGAATATAATTTTTTTTTTGCATTTGGTACGTGGGCGGCGATATGAAGTTGGCTCGACCTGTGTTCTTATCAGGGAGATAAGCCCGACGACTGGTAAAAGCGTGGATTTCTGTGGAAACCATTTATAGGACAGACCGTGACTCCGTGTGCGCGTGCATCTTCCTTTCCAGCGCCCTCTCTTTTTTTTTCCCTGGATCGCAGACATGGATAATCGACCGAAGCTTGGAGGCATCGCCGTGGACAAAAACCTCCAAGACTTAGTGGCGAGAACCCGATACCCCCTGGTGCAGGAGAACGGGCAACGCAAGTACGGGGGCCCCCCGCCGGACTGGGAGGGGGGCCCGCCCCCGAAGGGTTCCGAAGTGTTCGTGGGGAAGATCCCCCGGGACTGTTTCGAGGACGAGCTTGTCCCGGTGTTCGAACGGGTCGGGAAGATCTACGAGATGAGGCTGATGATGGATTTCTCAGGGTCGAACCGCGGCTACGGGTTCGTGATGTACACGTGTCCCGAGGACGTGCAGAAGGCGACGAGGACCCTGAACGGCTACGAGATCCGCCCGAACCGGAACCTGGGCGTGGTAAAGAGCGTGGACAACTGCCGGCTCTTCGTCGGGGGGATCCCAAAGAACAAGACCAGGGAGGAGGTGCTGGAGGAGATGACGAGGATGGCGGAGGGGGTGGTGGACGTCCTGCTGTACGCGAGCGTCACGGACAAGACGAGGTCCCGGGGGTTCGCCTTTGTGGAGTTCGAGAGTCATCGGGCGGCGGCCATGGCGAGGAGGAAGTTCTCGCCGGGGAAGATGGTCCTGTGGGGGCACGAGCTCGCTGTGGATTGGGCCGAGCCCGAGCCCGAGGTCGACCCGGAGACCATGGCGAAGGTATGGATTACTCCTATTGATATTATGGTTGGGTCGCTTTATCCCTCTTCTGTATCTGGTTCTTCGCCATTGCTCTTTGGTCATATCTCAACTTTTCTCTTCCTCTTATTTCCCTTCCTCCTTTCTGCCCTCCTTGCGTGTCGGTCTTTCTTTATGACACGTAATAACCGGCTGCATGGTCTTCCAGCTGCTGTGCCTATTTCTCGAAACGATTAGCACGTCCGTTTCGTGAATACTTCTACTACTGTCAATCGAGGGCTTTAACGGCTTTGATATACAGAAGTATACGGTTGTTGACTCGTTCACGGCAGGTGAAGGCCCTGTACGTGAGAAATCTGATGGTGACGACGACGGAAAATCAGCTCCGTGACATCTTCAACGAGCTGTCCGGGGACGGGGTGGAGAAGGTGAAGAAGCTGCGGGACTTCGCCTTCATCCATTTCGCGACCAGGGAGCAAGCCGAGAGCGCTCTCGAGGCCACCGAAACCGGTGAGGTTTCCCGTTCCTTCCGTCTACTTACTGTCAGACCTGCGTTTTATGGCATTCCTATCGAGGCGCATTCAGTGTCCAGTGCATGTGCATGTACACATCCCCTGTCATCATTATATGGCTCGAGGTCTAGATTGCACTATCAGCCGTTGGATTTTGACAGTAAACAAGTGAGGAGCCGATAGGCGCAGGAGGACATGCTTTGTGAGAAACCATCTCGTAAAAATTGTTCAGAAACGGCTTTATCATATATTTATATATTTTGAAATTATTTTTAATTATAAATCGGCAATCCGAAGACCTCCAGTAATGATGGAAATGCACCCCCAGGAGAGAGACAGAAACTAAGGGTTGCACGACACTTCCGCCCTTGTTGCTTACGAGTCTTTCAGAACACGTGGCAGAGAGGGAAAATTTTCGTCGCTGGTTGGTGACTAGTTCGAAGAAAGAAAAATCTCTCGAACATGCATTCGTATTGACCTGTCGTGATTTGCTCGGAAAGTTTACATTTACTTGTCAGTTACATGATATAATGTGTCCACTCGAGCTGTTATGTACGCTATCGAAGCCTGCACTTGCGCGAATGGAAGGAAGTGATTTTAGGATCGAAAAGAATGAGATCATTGATTCCCTTTCATCTCTCGACACGAAATATGCGAGAATCTTTTCAAAAAGCCCTGGATATAGTAGAGTGACTAATGTAAAACAGCGTACGACTGAGGCTCGTGAAAACGACTCCGTAAAGTTGGTTTTACCGAAAGACGACACTGGAAAGCATATTATCTTGCTTACGGCAATAACTAATCAATTTTGCTTTTGTCTGTTGTACGACGTGAAGTGCATTATTTATGCCTGAATTTCTTGCCATCTGAAAAACACCAAAGGTAATTTCGGTACTGGACCTGACACCAAAACGTCAGGAAGAATTAACGTTTCGTTCTGTCACTCTACTAGGTGACCTAATTAACTAAACGAAGCTGTAATGTTTTTTCTATCCAATTTTTTCTCTATTGCTGTTTAGTAAAACAGCCCTGGAAGTTCAGTCCTAATTCACTGCAGATTTTCCTTTTTTGTTGATCATCCCTCGTAATTGAGAGCGATGGAAGAGGTGCTGCTCCTACCTTCTACAAGTACAGCCCCATTCTTATCGCGAAATTAGGAACTGCCAGTAGATAATACTACCTCGTAAAATTATTCTCGACGCGTGTTACAATGGATTGTCCACGCAATGGAGCATGCATGAGGTTAAGTTTGGATCCTTGATCGAGGAGATGCTTGGAGGGCCGAAGGGCGCCTTCTTGGAAGTGGGCGGGGCGAAACAGGATTCATAGCTCCTTCCCACCAAACACAGCGCGAGCTGCTCTGGCTCCCTCACCGCATTGGTAAACATTAGTGACCCCAGACGGTGTTTGGGGCTCGGCAGCCAGTTGTCGTTAGGGGACGCGGGAACAGTCCCGTTGGTTTCAGACATCATCTTGCCGAGTAGCTGAGTGTCGCAACCACGTTTTTCTGAGGGTTAACAAAAAAAGCCTCGTTGGGTCTCGAGTCTTGAAGAGGTCCAGGAAGCCCTTTCGCTCTCAGGAAAACCATTCAAATCTTACCAATCCGATCGCGATGTCCAGTTATTTTTTGCTTGTGTTTTAAATCGTCATTGAATGGAGTCGCAGTTCGCGATTTATCAGTGACGATTGAGCTGAGGATACTTTCCTGAAAACAGAGACGTCATTTGAAAATTCCCCCGAAATATCTTGTGCGTGATAGCCAAATGACCCAAAACTGAAATGACTAGGAACTTTTGGTGTTTCTCCCTGGTCTCTCCGGCCAACAGTGTTCATCACATAGTCTACATTCCCCCTTCTCTCTATTCTTGATAGCCGGTTTCCTTCCAGTACGAAAGAAACCCATAGTTGGATTTCTTCTGAGGCAAAGGGAAATATTCGGAGGGGGAAGCAGTGGCGTAGCGAAGGGGGCTGAAGCCCCCCCCCAACTTTGGTTCAAGCGCCCCACTTGGGGGAAGTAATGAGAGGAAAAGGAGTGGATCCTTTTCTCATTTCGCTCAAGGAATTTGACAGTCAATCTAAAAGTTTGCTTCCACCGCAATGGAATCTCGCTCTTGTCATTCGATTGACGAGCGTCTCAAAATATAATAATTGATGTACCTACAGTATGGGCGAAGGTGCACAGGGGCGAATTTTCTAATGCGATGGGTGGCAGATTATATCAGATTTACTGCCCCTGGGGGAAGTGGATACAGAGAAAGATCTGGAACTCTCGTCCCCAATTAACGAGATTAGATAAGCGGTCGAATATAGCAGTGACTTGTCCATTTCTTGTCGGGGGGAGAGGGACCGAAAATCCACGGGGAACGAGAGTAAAACACGTGTCGTGTCACTGGAACCAGTCTGATCGAACTTCAAGCTCGTATCAGACGAGGCAAATGTTGAAGAATTCTTGATCGTTCTCGCGTTTCTTGCTTTTCTGGCTCCCATTTTCACTCGGAGCAGTTCGTCCGAGGTAGACCAAGGACAGACGGTATCCAATCGTGTGCCAGGGCCTGGAGCGTGGAGGCTGGAGAGCCGTCATCGCTTCATGGTCCGCGCACGCGCGCGCTTGGGCTGGGACGAAGAAAGGACGGGGGAGTTGTCTGGCCGATCCACGCTGGGCTATCGGACGCGTATTCGTCCTCGCCTATCTTCGAGATTAGGAGCAACTCCGTTCTCGCGTGTTTTCTCGCTTTTCTCGTCTTTCTCGTCTTTCTTTTTCCTCGTTTCACACGTTCAATTTTTTTTTTCGAAAATCCCTGATAAAAGCCGTAAGAGGCAACCATCTAGAATGTCCCGAAAATTTGCCTCTTCTGAAACAGGCTCCAGTTTCAGTTTTGTACTCTTCGTAATTGCTGACAATCAGTGACAAATACATCAAACAGCCTTGTTGGTTCTGTTATAGGGGAGATTTGGGAGCGATTTGTGGTTATTCACGATTTCATTTTTCATCACAATTGATATTGATATTAATTGATCGGTTAATCTAATCAGTTTCGAAAGCAGTGGTAAGGATTTAAAATACTTAATCACTGTGAAGGCGAAATACTACTGTCCATCCCAGCCTAAATCCACAATGTAACTGGTAAGTATAAATATATACTTTGCGCAGTAGGAAAGTTTTTTTTTATATTGATGTTAAATCTTATGGCGAACCACTAGAGTTTTTTTTCGTATTAGAAATGTTTAAATACTACTTTCTGATATTACCGTTGCTGTCTACAGGCGCACAGCAAAAGTCAATAGACACCTCGCCAAGCGTAAAATGACATTAATAGGACTGGACGTAGAAGCTTTTCATGAGAAAAGGACATGGTCTGCCCAAGGCCGTATTTAGGGGGGTGGGTTCATGGGGTTCAAACCCCCCCCCCCCCCCGAAATATCTTCCTTAAATTTTTGCCATACTGCTATTCGTTAGTGTAAACGGTGCAATACATGGTCTTTTCTATCTTTAATAGCCTATGACTTATTAAACACTGCAGCTTACAGGAAAATCCAGATATGTCACAAAGACTTACAATGACAAGTATTTAAAAAAATTGCCACAGTTCATACGCCAGACCTCAGCCCCCCCCCC